TCCCTGACAGGCCATGTCTACCTGTGACAAGCTCCCAGGGTCTGTCTTGCCCCTCACCTTCCTCAGTGTCCTTTAATTACTGTCCCTGTCCCCTGCAGACTGTACATGGGGTGCAATCTTCAAGGAACCCCACCATGGCCCCTTGGGCCTGGCACTGAGGAGGTGCTTCCCAACCCTTGTTGACTGATGGCTACTGTGGGCTATATTTCTCACTTGTTTTAATCTCCTAAATCTGCAAGAAACCTGGATTATAGAAAATGTATTTCCTTGGGCTCAAGATCTCAGCTGCCCTTAGCAAGCTGAGGTCTGTGGTCACGGCTTATCTGCTTTCTGCCCTGATGCAGGTAACTACTAACACTTAACGAGTGTGTGCCTATACATGTTATTTGATTTAATTCTCACAGTAACCCTCTGAGGCAGATATAATTATTATCTTCCTTTAGAAATGAGGACATTAAGGCTCAGATAGAGGATACGGCCAGTAAGGGGTGTGGCAAGATTCAGATCCAAGTCCAGCTCAGGGCACTGGGCACTTTGTCTCTTGGTCACTTCTACCTGTGCCCTTGGGGCTTCAGGAATTTGGTTTAGATAACTGTCTGGCCTTTGCAATAACTCTCACCCCCCCAACCATCCCCCCCCACCCCCGCCAACTTTAGATCTCTGTCATCTGGCTGGTGAGCTGAGAGTGTTCAGGTGGCCAAAGTCTCTCTTGAATTCTGGCCACAACTGGGGATTTGGGGACCTGTCTGGCCTGCCTGGAAGGAAAGCTGTCCCAACTCCATGGGGTCACGTGGTCCCACCTGCTAAGAGCCTTTGGTGTCTCTGCTGACTGGGGCCTTGCCCTCCAAGTTCCTGTTTGAAAATCATCCAGAAAAGGACAAACCCCTGGCCCGGGGAGAGAGGTTGCAAGCTGACCTGCCATCTTATCAGTCTGAAATCTTTGGATACACCCCATCACTTTCAGGGAGTTGAGGTGTCCCAAATCTGCCCTGGAGGCTGTGTTGTTGTCAAAACTAACAGTACTGGCTGATCCGGGGACACAGGCGCTCACAGGTTTGGGAAACAGTGTTACTAGCATACAGTAATTGTTACTAACAATACAATAATTCTGCTGAGAGCCCGTTTTACAGATGGGAAAACTGCAGAGCAGAGAGAAGGAGTTGAGTTGAGGAGGAAGGGCTTGACCCCAGGGCTCTGGAGTCCATTCTTGGTTTCCTTAGTCTTCTCTCATCCCACAAGTCCAGAGGGGAACTTAGTGTTGTCCCTCAGTAGGGACAAGATGCGGTCCCTGGCACTGGCTCCAGGGACTTGTCCAACATCATACCTGATAAAAGATGGAACCTAAGTTCAGAGCCAGATCTGCCTGCACCACGCCTTCACAAATCCTTTGCGTTTGTCTCTTGAGGAAGGAAAACTCTTTTCCTCCTTGTTAATGAACATCCTTCACAGCCCAGCTCAAGGGTGCCCTCCTCCCAGAAGTCCTCCTTGATTTCCTGCTGCCCTTCTCCCCACGTGTCCCAGTCATTCCTCCTACCGCTGTCCTTGGGCTTGTCTTTTTCACAGCCGTAGAGCTTGGTGGTCAAGGGCCGTGGCTTTGGAGTCAGGCAGCTGGGGATTCAAAGTCAGGCAGCTGGGGATTCAAAGTCTTGGTTCTTTTACTTGGTGTGTGACTTCAGGCAAATCCCTTCACTGCACTAGGCCTCAGTATTTTCCTCCACAAAACGGGCTACCACGGTACCTTTGGGTGTTGTCAAACTACATGAAGTAAGGTATATACAAGGTCTGGCACAAAGTTAGTGCTCAAATTATGGTGGCTGCTATTATCATCAGTAGAAGCTGAAGAACTGGTCCTGGCATTGAGGATCTCAGGTGCTCACTGTGGAGGTAATTGGCCCTTAATAACCTTCCTAGTCCAGCCCAGGCAGGGTGGGGAAAGTGCTGGGGGGCATTCCTTTACACCCTGGGCCCCCTCCCCGCCACACATACCTGTTTTTTGTTCTGCCTAAGTGTCTTTTCTGGAAGAACCTGAAGCTATAGCACCCTTTAGAATGATGCCCCCCTGTGGCTGAATGGGAACCTGCTTTGGGAGGAACAGAGTAGATGGGGAGGTCTTATCTCCGTTTCACAGGTTCATCCAACAAGTTATTTGTTGAGGACCTACTATGTGTCAGGCACTGTGCCAGGTGCTCAGGGTACATGGGTGAAGCATAAAAACCCCCCTGCTTCATGGAGCTTATAATCTAGTGGAGGGATAAAGCAATCAGAGTGTATAATGCATCAGCCGGAGATTAGGATAAGACGGAGAATAAAACAGGACAGAGGGATTAAGTGATGGGCAGCGGACAGGTCCTGCAGGGCTCTTCAGGCTTTAGAAGAAGTTTCTAGGGCTACTGAGGAGCTCCTGAGGGCTTTAAAAGGAAGAGAGTAAAGGATGTGGTGACTGTGTGTGAACAGACCGTCAGGGGCAAGGGCAAGAGCAGGGGGACCAACAAGGAAGTCACTGCAGTTGTTGACGTGAGAGATGGACGATGGGCCAGGGAGATAGTAGGGAGGGATGATAAGTGGCTGGGTTTGGGATGCATTTGCAGCAGAACCTGGAGGACTTACTGAGGGACTGGACCTGGGGTGAGGCATGAGACTACTGAGAGAGAGAGAGAGAGAGAGGAGAGAGAGAGAGAGAGAGAGAGAGAGAGAGAGAGAGAGAGAGAGAGATATGCAGGCACATGGCACAGGAGCTTGCTCAGACCGGGAACCAGGCTGGACACTAGAAGTCAACAATGTTTGCTGCTCCGCTTCCCTGGCCTGGCCTGAGAAGGCAGAGGATGTTGAAGCGGGGAGGGGAGGACACAGTCATAGCCCTTGACAAGGGAGCAAAGCCCATTTTAAAGAAGGAAGACCTCCTTACTTGGCCCTGGGAGGGAGAAGTCCTGACACCAGTTTCCCCCTAAAATGCAGTTCCGATAGAGGGAGCAGCAGGGAACCCACATTTCTGCACCAACTTCTTCCCCCAGTGAACTCAAAGTCAGCTTTAAGGAGTTCCTGGCAGGGATGGGCACACTTTATACTGTTGGTGGGCATGGGAAGGGGCCCTGTGGCTCGGGAGGGCACTTTCTCAATGTCATCCAAAGCAATCTCTTGAGGAAGCAACCAGATGTGTACCTACAGGGTTTTGTTTAGCATGGTGTGGTTTACGAGACCAAACAGGAACAACACACATGTTGCACAGTAGAGACTAGTTTAAAATGTACTCATTAGGGCATCATCATGACAACTAACTTGCATTTTTCACTCAGTGACGAATTTTAGGTATCTTTCCATTAGGACATGTCCTCATGGACTTCCTTGTTGGTCCCCCTGCTCTTGCCCTTGACCCTGACAGTCTGTTCCTATATGTTGCAATATATCCTTGGCCCAGCCTGTTTAATGCCAGGAGTATCCCACTCACCAGCCAATTTTTGGGATGATCCAAAATGCCTCAACTGAGAACTGCCCTGAATTCAGAAACCCCAGAACCAGTGGCTGTTGAGTATCTCCCTGCCTTTTTTTTTAAACCTATGAAAGCCTATCTGGATGGCTGAACCTTTCCATCTGGGCCACCAGCACAAAAAACTAGGGCTGAAAATATCCTTACTTAGCCTTGAACCAGACTAGTGTGGTCCCTGGTTCTGTGGTTGGCAGTCCTTCTGACCTAGGGCCAGTTACCTGGCTGGTCTGCACTGTGGTGGCTGCAACAATTACATCAGCTGCCTCACTCACTTCCCAGGGCTGGGTGGGAAACCAAAGAGGCCTTTGTAAATTCTACACGATGCAGGTTTTAAGCGTGTTTTTATGCTTTGTTCTGGTTCTACTAATAAACATAGCAGAAACCCTGAAGAGGGGTGGGGAGTGTCGAGTGTATTTACATATACAGGGCTGGGGCTGGAGTGCACGTATATGTGGCATGATGGTTAAGAGCAGGAGCCTTGGGGGGCAGATAGGCCTTCCCACTTACCAGCTGTGTGACCTGGGCTTCAGGGTTTGGCACCGTACAATGGGACCGTTGTGAGGCACCGAAGTACGTACAATGGTTGCTGTCATTACACAACTTCTTCAAAGCAACCCATTAAAAAGTACAAAATGCCATTGTCCTCATTCTGGTTTTTAATGGTCAAGGTGACAATAATCTAGTTTCTCCAGACCAGCATTTAGTTTCATATTTACCTCCAACTGTGGCAGATGCTGCAGCCCCAGCCCCCTGTCACTTTGGGATCAGAAGTACCAAGCCAAGTCCCTTTCTCAGGTTGGATCCCCAAGGCCTCCCCTACTCTGGGTAGTAGTGTTGGCTCTTGGCTCATTGCAGGGGGTAAAACAGAAAAGAGAAAGTGGTGATGACCGCTTGGAAAGAGTACTGAGGCACGTTATGATTCAAACCCAGAAAATTCTGAGTCAGCGTTGATTCTAAGTCTGTGGCTCATTTAATAGGGGGTGGAAAGGCTTCCATCCAAGATCCCAGTGATCCTCCTCTCTCAACCTTGCACACTTATAGGGGGAGGGTCTTGCCCTGGCTGGTGCAAGTCAGAACTCAGCGGGCAGAGAAGAGCGGGGTGAAGCCTGTGCACCAAAGCCATCTTCGTTACTCACCCTAACTTCAGTCAGCAGAAGCCTCCTGCAAATGCTAACACAGTACAAGGAGCTCATTGCACAGGGAACCCACCCCTTCTTCAGCATGTGATTTGCCATGCGTCATCAGTGCTCAGTGGTATTTTGATTGTTTCTCTTTCAGACCAAGATACCCTGACTCTGAATTCATCTGGGTTGGCACAAGCTGTTTCCCAGTAAAAAGATACCCTATCTACCTCCCAGGTACAGATTTCTGCATGTGGAGTAAATAAAGCAATGACAGAGCAGCCTGGATGATGAGGGAGAAAAGCGCTGAAGCAGGAGGTGTAGTTAGAATCTCAGCTGGCCAAGGCCTGGAAAGTGTAAAATTCCCAGGGTTTGAGTGAAAGGAGCACAGGGGTTGTGCGCCTCTGGATCTGACCTCATGCTTCAGGGTACTCTTGTTGCTACTCAGTTTTATCCAGGCAAGAGATCTGTTCTTGTGGAAGTGAGTGGCTGCAAAAGCCTTTTTCTGTAAGTCCCTCCACTCCCTTCCCTCCACAGGGGAAATCCTCCACTAGTCATCCTGGGGGCAGCGGGGGGACACGCTAGTGGGTGGGTGTTGTGTGCCACATGCAATTTTTACGCAGAGGGGATGGAAAACTCCTCCCCACACACCTTAGACATAAATATGATTTTAAGATAATCAAAGCCTGCCTCAGTGGGAGAGGTTCTGTATAACATGCTGGTGATATTCCATTTTTTTGGTTGTTTTTATTTTTTTCTTTAAAGTCCATTGATCGTCACAAAAACCCAGGAAATGCAACTAAGGAGAAAACAAATGTCCAACTGAGATCTAAGAACGCAGAGCTATGGAGGAGACGTGGCACTGGACTGCAGGGTGTGCGGGAGGGGGTGGAGGGGTGGTCTCCACGGGGCAGCTGGCCGTCGGGGACACAGGAAGGAGACGAGGCTGCTGGCTGGGCCAGGCAGTTATGTTAACCGCTGCACGATGACAGCATTGAGCAGGTTGGCTTCCTTCAGGGTCTGGCTCTCGTCAGCCAGCTCTTTGTTTGGGAAGGTGGTCATGAGGACAAAGCTGGTGGCAGCCATGGCCGGCCGGGCGTCCACAATGAAGAGTCGGATGTCGCTGATCCTGGTGGAGTGGGGGGAGTGGGGAGGTGGGTGAGCAGTGTTCTTCTCTGCCGCCCCCACCCCCGGCTTCGGGAGGCTGTATCATATCCCCAGGTCCCCTCCCCTGCCTAATCCTTCTCCACAGAGTGTCCAAAGCTCTCATTTGGAACCACATGAGCTCATGTCACTCCTTTGTCTAAAACCCTTCAGAGCTGCTCCCCCTTTCCTTGGTATAAACAGCAATCTCCTGACTGTGGTCCTGAGGCCTGCCTAATTTTACACCACCCTCCTTCCCCCTGTTCTCCTACCTCCCCATTTCAGTTCTTCATCATGCTGTGCTCCCTGCCCACATTTGGGTCGCTCTTCCTAGAGGCTTCTCTGCCTGACCCCTTTTCTGTAATCCTCACCAAACTTGTTTCACAACTAACCTCATGTGAAGCCTGTCAACACTCAAGGATTGGCAAGCCATCCCCTGGGCCCCACATGTGGGTTCTGGTTTACATGGCCTATGATTGATGAAATTTAGACACTGCTATTCTAGAAAAAGGAGTTGCCAAATATCTTTACTGGCAACAGTCCTCCCCTGCTAATCTCTTCATCACTTTGTGCCTCAGTTTCCCCATCTTTAAATTGGGGAGGCACAGTTGCTTTGATCCCAGATGATCTGAGATGGAACAGGTATTCTAGAATTCTCAAAGTCCAGATCTAGAAGAGACCTTAGTAGCCTAGTGGTTTTCAGAGGCTGCTGGCGGGCAGGGAGGTAGAGGAAGCCAGGTGGGTGCATCCCCTCTCCCCTCCATCAGCCACAGCAGTTCAAATTTTATCTGTTCTACACTTGGGCTTTAGCATGAAACTTCCTTTGAACAAATTGTTTGGTGGCTAAACAAACCCCTCTGAGGAATCCGATCCCCTAATTTTAGAGATGAGGAATGAGACCCACACAGGGGAGGGAGCAAGTCACTGGCCGCACTTAATGGAAGAGTGGGGACCAAACCAAAGGCTTCAGACTTGCATACCTTCCTATCCCACTGCCTCCTCTGGGGAAAGCACGGAGTGCCTGCTGGTGTTTAGGAGAAAGAACTGCTCCCTGCTTCTCACCTGTCCGTGGGAGTTTCTGGGACCCTCTTAGAATAAGCCAGGCCACATAATGCAAGGTACCTGTGGCTGTGGTTAAATTTCTGCACCAGCCTCCCGCCATCAGCAAGCCGTATTTGGATGTTTGTGGTAGGCTGCAACTCATCGACTGAGATGGAAGAGCTGGCTTTGGCCTCATTTTCTGCCTGTTGGGCTGGAGAGCTGGTATTCAACACCGGGGGTGCAGTGCTGAGGAGAGAGGATCGCGTCAGGACACAAACAGAAACAAGGCCGCACGCAAGAGGGGAATCCTGTCTCAGATTTTTACTGAGCATTTGTTACGTCTGGTGCTGTTTGTTGCTACTGATATAAGGAGTGTCCGAGACAGAATCCCTGTCCTGATGGAACTTAGAGGTCCAGCGGAATTCACCTCAACCCCCAAATTACTGCTAGCTCCCTCACTCCTGGAGTTGGACAAGTTACCAACCCCCTTCTTTCTTGGTGTCCACAAATGAAGAAGGGCTTGAAGGGAGGAAAGCAGTATGCACGACAGCCTGGGCCAGGAGAAACTGGGGCCTGATGCTGGAGGACCCAACAGACCAGAATGAGTTTTAGCCTCAGTGAGAGGCTGAGGGCAGAATGGGGAGGGGGCACTCCAAGTCTGCAGCTGAGGTAGGCATGACACAGCTTGGCAGGTGACTGCTGGAATGTAAGGGACAAGTCCAGACTCTTCCTCTGATGGGAGTTTTCAGGCCTACCTGCCCCAGTACAACCTCACTCATGTGAGTATCTCATACTCATGTGTCAACTATCAGGAGGTGGTTGAGATTTCTGGAAAGCCAACTAAGTGCCCGGCACTGCAGGGATTAATTATACAATATGAACAGGACACAGTTCCTACCGCAGTGTTGAGTGCTCAGATCTTGGAATGAGATTGACCAGGGTATGAATTTACCCACTAGCTATGGTAGTGTTGGGCTAGTTATCTAAGCTCCCTGAGTTTCAACAAGGGTAGTAACAAGGTTCTTTAACAAGGACCCTTGTGAGGATTAAAGGGGTGCTACACTCAGGGTGGCTGACAAACACAAAATGCACACGAATTTCCAATTCTCCATAACCGTTGGAGGCTTCATCTCTCTCCTGTAAACCATCTATGCATCTCATTCTCAGCCTTTCTCTTAGCAGATGTCTTGGCCTAGACCTATGCAGAGAATAGAGACCATTGGATGAGAACTCCCTTGCTTCCGTCCAAAGCCTCTAGTTAGATTAATTCATACACCTCACTGTTCCCTCTGATCCTTACAACCTAAAAAGGGTATTCTTAGGAAATCCAACTGAAAGTGCTTTCCTAAGTGTGCTCCCTGGGACCCTAGTCCCTTGAGTTATCTCCAGGAAGATTTTGGAAATGCCACATATTATACCAACAGCATCACAGGCCACTAACATATTAAAGAAGGTCTTGAGAGATCATGGGGTTAAGGCAAACTTATTTGATCACCATGTCCTTTATTTCATGTTACGCTTGTTAACCTCCTGCAGATTGTTTCATCGAACACAGTGAAATGCTGCCCCAAGGCAAATAATTAGCAAGGAAGAACTGAAAACTGAACTTACTCTTTTCTATAAACATGAAAAATAGTGGCTTAGAGAATTACAAAGTGGAGCTCAGAAGAGAAACCTGGCCACACTTATTGGCTATGAGAGGAGCTTCTATGGATCAGCCTCACAGCACGTGGGACACAAATGTGGGCTGAGACACAGATAAATTACACCATCACGGGCCTGAAGAGATGCTTGGAAACAGTGGAAAGTTAATTGTTGCACCTGTAAATGCCTAAAATCTACTCTGTTCTGTTCATTAGTTTTAAGGGCATTAGGTCAACTCTCTAATTAGACTCTAGGTAGCCTGTCCCTCAACTGTTCATAACAATTCCAAGTACATGATGGGTACTCACTGATGCTACTGCTTGCCAGAAAGGCCTGAATGAGAGAGAAGCTGAATTACCTGACTGCTCATTTCCTTTGTAGTGGGAATAAATTGGGCACTAAGGTGCTTTTGTTGCCACAATGCTACCTCCTGAGACCCTGCCACCTGCTTTACAAAGATGACCACTACAGAAAGCATGGTGAGGGGACAAAGCTCGGCCTGGCAGCAGTGTCACCCTTCACCCCCATCCCAAGTGCACTCTTGGCGTTTGGTGCTCAAAATCAAGTAAATGCAGGCTTCCCAAATCTTCACATTAGTTCCCATCCAAACAAACAAATGCAAAGCCTAAAATAAAAAAAGTTTCATGCAACTGAACGAACTTTTTCAAATTTCTGAACTGAGAAAAATCTATTCATTCATTTTATTTTTCTAGGTAATTGGAGAAAAAACAAGCATTGACTGATTTTTGAGGCAAACCCTGAGAAAAATTTCTTAAACTTTTGGCTTCCTGATCATTTTAGTCAACAAGAAGACAATGGAAAGCATAGTAAAATTTATTGGAAAAACTAAAAGAGCTGTCCATCTAGTTTAGACTGAAAAGCTAACGTTCCATCTCCTTTAGCTGTATAAAACATTTTTTTAGCTCATTTTTCTTTAAAAGCTAGAACTGAAATAAAATCAAAGTGGAACTGGCAATGAACATTTATTTAGCTGACAAGCATCACATCTGACTATCAAGCTCTGTCTTGACTTGTTGATTCATCACCTGCACTAAGTATTCCCATCCTGCTAAAACAGACTCCTTAAAAACATCTTAATTTTTTGAGATGTGGAGTCTTCACACATAATAGAGTTAGACTTTCCAATAGTAGAAGCATTTTCTGTTAGTATCATGAAACCAGACAAACCCAAACTGCACGGTGCTCTGGACCCTTCCTTAAAACTACTGGTGGGTGGGGCTTCCCTGGTGGTGCAGTGGTTGGGAGTCTGCCTGCCGATGCAGGGGACGCAGGTTCATGCCCTGGTCCAGGAGGATCCCACGTGCCGCGGAGCGGCTGGGCCCTTGAGCCATGACTGCTGGGGCTGTGCGTCCGGAGCTAGTGCTCCACGACGGGAGAGGCCACGACAGTGAGAGGCCCGCATACAGCAAAAAAAAAAAAAAAAAAAAAACTACTGGTGGGTGAAAGACGGATACAACCTTTTTGGAGGGCAATTTGACAACATCTTAAAAATATGAAGATCGTTTGAGCTAGCAATTTTACTTCTAGTACAACATTAAGGGGTATATAAAGATTTAATTAGAAATATTCATTGTAATGTTCATAATACTGGCAGCCACCTAAATGTTTAACATCAGGGACTGGTTAAATTATGGCACATACATAAGATAGAAACTTATGTTAGCATTAAAAATAATATTGTAGGGCTTCCCTGGTGGCGCAGTGGTTGAGAGTCCGCCTGCCGATGCAGGGGACATGGGTTCATGCCCCGGTCCAGGAAGATCCCACATGCCACGGAGCGGCTGGGCCCGTGAGTCATGGCTGCTGAGCCTGCGCACCCAGAGCCTGTGCTCTGCAACAGGAGAGGCCACAACAGTGAGAGGCCAGCGTACCGCCAAAAAAAAAAAGAGCCTGTGTAATATGTTGTTAATCTTATTTGTTCTTTTTTTCAATACCTTCCATGGTGCTTTTGTTGGTTGGTTTGGTTTGGTAATTTTAAACTCTATCCTTAGAAATGTTTCTTAAGATTCAAGTAATTCCTAGTACTCCAATCTTGGGGGACACTTCTTAAAATTTATAAAGAATTCCAACAAATAAGAAAATGACAAACAACCCCAGAGATAAATGGACAAAAGAAATGTACCAGGAACTCAAGAAGAAATGGCCAATAATCGTATAAAAAGATGAATGATTGTATAGTAGTCTCCTGCAACTTGCTGTTTTCAGTACAACTAAGCCTCTACGCTTTACCCACAAAAAAAAAAAAAAAAAAAAAAAAGTAGAAATACACTTACTGATCTGGAATGACAGCCATACCACACTGATTAGGCAAAGTAACAGGTGATAGAACATTTATTTTTACACACACACACACACCCATACACATATACAGACTGGAAGGATACTTCCCAGATACTAACTGGACATATCTGGGTGTTAGGTTTAGGGACAGTTTTTATTCTTTATCTGTATTTTCTCTTTTTTTTAAAAGATAAACACATTTTATTTTAATAATATACAGAAAAAAATTATCTGGTGCTCTACAAAGCTTATCATAGCTGACAGGTAAGTCACAGATGGATCAGAGAACAGCTCTCCCGGACTAACCCACAGGCCCCAATGTGGTAGATGAAATGATGAGCAGGGTGGACTTAACTATTTTGGTCCTGGTAAACCACAATCTATTGGTCTCTAATGTCCTGAGCTATGACCCTTGCTCCTGATGAGGCATGAATGGCCAGCAGGGAAGCAGGGGATTCTAGGAGAGGGCCAGCCAGAAGCTCAAAGAGCACAGCTGTTGGCAGACCACACTCTGATTCCTGCAGATGGTGGTGAGGTGAGCAAGGACAGCGCCTAGTTCAAGAGCTGCCAGACCTAGGTCAGAAACAGTGTCTTGCTGTGTAGGAGTGTGAGGAGAAATGCCAATCAGAAGGCCTGATTCCAGTCCCGGCTCTACCATAGGGAGCACCTAAGGGTATCCCTTAAAGTCCAAGAGCCTCAGGTTTCCCTTTGTAAAATAAGGATGGTACTGGCAGAGAGGGTCACCAAGCTGAGTGCCTCTTGTGTGCAAATCTCTCTCTGAAGGATACTGACGAAGTGACCCCATGCATGGCCAAAGCTGAGTGGGTCCCTGAGAGAAGGCTGCCTGTCTGTGGGATGGTCAAGGATCTGGTGTGAGAACCCTGCCTATCAGAGGTAATAGGGACTATCAACCAGTCAGATCCTATTAGGGGTTTGAATGCAAGATGGAGATAGTGGCAGAGGACATGTGGCAAAAATTTCACAGGAAATGACAAACTGAGTCTCAGGCAGGACCAAAGAAGCTGCCATAACAGTGGAGCAGCAAGGGGCAACAATGTCTCTGAGCTTCCCTGGATCCTAAATGATGCCGCTGCAGGCTGGCCGGCAAGAGTCCAGGATTCCTTTCTCCTCTGAATCCCCATTTCAAGTGACCTGAATACATGTGTCTGTTTCAGCCTTAAAGCCATGCAGAAGGTTATCCCTGCCCGGGACACCCTAGATTACCGAGTCAAAGCAACAATGTGTTACCTTTACTGATTACACTGACTGCTCACTGTGGGGCAGTGCTCTACGTGCTCCTCCCAGCAGTAATCGAGGAGGTAAGGATTCTTATTAGTCCCACTTTATAGTTGAGCAAACTGAGCCTGGATAGTCCAAGGTCATATGGCTAGAAAGTGAAGAATAGATTTAAACTCAGGTTTGTTAATGCCAAAGCCTATGTTCCCCATACACTTCCTCCCATAAAAATAAAATCTGAAGTACTCTGTAATAAACAGTAAAGAGCTATACAAAGTGAGCCTTACACAGGGCCTGCTGGGCCTGACAGGAGTGACCCACACAGTCCTGCTCCCACCTGTGCTGCTCCTTACCTGCCCAGTTTCTGACCCTCACCAGTGAAGGCTCTGAAGGCTCCCTTGGGCTTCACAAAATCCTCGTCCCGATGGTCCTCCATGTCCAAGTTCACCTGCCCACCGTGAGCTAACCTCCGCAGCTCTGCTGGCACCTCTCTGTGGGAGAAAAGGCAGTTCTGGGGCCCACAAAAAGCAGGATGGGAATGACAGTGATGCTACAAAGGGCGGAGAAACTTCTCAGCTCCAAATGTGAAGTTGGGCTTCACAAGGAGTTGACTGCTCCAGTGGCTACCTGTCCGCCTCCCGCTTCTCTTATGCCTGCTCAGAGTCAAGAGTGGAGACCTGTATCTTATTTGGTGACTTGGCTCTGTCCTAGGCCCAAAGGGGAAATGCAGATACACAGGGTTTTGGGAGCAGATCTGTGAATCTGTATCTCAACTGTGCTAAATCTGCTTAAAAATGTAAACTTCTTAAATAATAAATATTTGAATCAGCTTCTTCTTTCCCATCTGCCATCTCACTCACTGATATGGAATCCGAAGGAGGGCTTTTCTGCTCACCCTCTGCGGATAGACTCCAGAAACTGGGCATTGGATGGGTCTTGGTAGCTTCTGAGTTCACCATTATCCAGGCTGAATCCACTCTTCCAGAGCTTCAACACTACATGAACCTGTGACAACAGGAGGTAAGCAGTCCATACATTGTCAGAAACCTGGCAAGCACACTTACAAATTAACGAGTTTTTACTATTTTACTGTGTCATTATTAAAACACCCAGACAGACAAACATATACTCATGCACAAGGAGATCAATCAACAACCAATGAAATAAGTATTAACCTAAAATAAGAAGGTGATATGGCACAAGTTAAGAGAATGGGCTTTAATTTAAGCAGACCTGGGTCTGCATCTTGATTTTGCCACTCACTAGCTAAGTGGCACTGAGCAGATGACTCAACTGAAGCTGTGGCTTCCTTATCTATAGGGTTGCCAGTGTGCTTGGCACAAAGCCTGTGCTCAACTAAAGTAGCATGGCAAATCTTCCGTGGACTATTTTGCAGCCATTAAAAATATCTACAATTTCTGTTAACGACTCCCTATATATATACACAAAAAAGGGTCTAGAGGACTAAAGACCAGCATATTAGCAGGTGCTACCTCAGGTGGATAGGATTTTTATTTCCTCCTTGCTTGACTACTTTACTTTGGAAAAAACCCAAAATAATTAAAAACAAATACATTATGGAGACTGATGGTCACAAGGTCATATGAAAATATTTATGGCACTGAAAAAGTACATATGTATTTTATAGCTGAGTCACTTTGCTGTACAAAAGAAATTAATACAACCTTGTAAATCAACTATACTTCAATAAAATTAAAAAAAAAACGCTTACAATATAAACCTCAAAACTGACTCTACAGTATGATTACAATTATTGGAGAGGGGGGATCCCTATGCGCAGGGAAAAAAGGACTGGAATATAATACAGAAAAAGTTCAAAAAGTACGTTTCAGGCCTCCTTGGGGGGGTGTCTAAAGACCAAGTTCTTTAGGCACATTCACACCACCAGAGAACCCTGGAATCACTATCCCTCTGCCTGAGATCCATGGAATGCTCAGAAAACTCCATTATTTGTCCATCTGCTCTGCCTGTCCCCACTCATGAGCCACCCCCCTCCCCGCACACCCAGCCAGATGAGAGCTGTCTTTGATTCTCAGGTAAGCCTTTCCATTCATGGAATACAGCAAACTTGCTGCCTCTTCCCTTTCAGAGGCTGGTGATTCACGTGTAACATGGGACTAATTTCTCCCCCAAAATGATAAAACAGTCCACGAGCTTCCCTAGAGAAGGTAGGTGCACACTCACATCTTGGCCGGAATGCCGCCTCCTTTCTCCGGCCACGTAGGCAGACTCTTCCTCTGGTGCTGCTCCAAGGCGGTAGCCACCTCCTGCAAATGGCTATAAAAGACAAGTTCATAAACACCGGAGGAGTGGGTCAACAGTTATCAGGTTATTCAGATACAATGATGTTATCTCAAGCTTGTTAACTACTAGGTACACTTTCTCTGAGTAGGAAACTCAGAGACTGGGGTAAAAACTGGAATGGTGGGGGGGGTATTGCTTGGTTAAAGGGAATGGCTGCTACTAAGCTGTAGTTAATCATGACCATTTCAAAATCTAGGTGTAGGATAACACTAAAGACTTTTTGATTTTCACAAAGAAAACAGAAATCCTGACTGTATGTAAAACAGGTGGCCACCGATTCAATTAAAACAAAAATAAAGCAAGACACGGAGTAAGTCAGGTTGGTTAGGCCAAACAAAACATGTTTGCAGAACCTGATCCAGACCATAGGCCATAGGTTTGAAAACTTTGCCCCAAATCTTGATTTCATGTTAAAAGGTAAGAGAAACTGCACTGCTCTTCTGCATATGAGAGGAAGTGAGCAAATGAAAAACAAAACAAAAACAAATTCAGTCACTACTGGGGTGAGGAAGGCCTCCTTTCCTCTGCTCTGGAACCTCAGTCCTGTGGACACAGACAACGACCCCGACCCCTTATGCTCACTCTTGGTTTACTGGTCTCTCCAGGGCTCTTGGTCACTCGCTCCACAGCTACGGCTCCATGTTCTTTGGCACCTTTAAAGAGATCGTCCACCAGCTCGTTGGGACTTTTCTTCCTGGGAGGGCCAACAATCTGCTGTCCACTTCTCTCTGAGCCCCCGGCATAAAACCTGTGCAGAAAATACACATCTAACACCAAATATACTTAGAAAACATGAATAGAGCATGTGCCAGGCTCTGGGCTAGGAGCTGGGCACAATGAGGCAAAGGGTACAAATGCCCATCTTTAAGGAACTTACTGTCTAGGTGGGGACAGATTTAAGAGGCAGGCAGCCATATTGCAGTGTGAGCCACAGTAGAAGTCAGTAAGGGGTGCTCTAGGAATACAGAGCTGGGGAGTACAGTCCAGGGTTCCTAGAAGGGTGTCTTCTGGGCTAAATCTTGAGGATGAGTTTATCAGGTAAAGGACAAGGGAAGGGTCCAGGCATGCACGACAGCACGTTAGCTCTGGGAATTCACCATCCAGCGGCCAGCACCTTTCCAGCAGATGATCACTATGGTCAGTTAGAAGCAGCTACCGCTAGCAGCCCTGGATTAATGGTGGCAGTGGTGTGGTTAGTACAAGCAGCTAGGTTCCACTGTTGGCTCTGCCACTGAGTGACCTGGGCAAGCCAATGCACTGAGCTAATCTCACTTTCCTTCTTTGAAATGGAAGGGAAGGACCACATGCCCTACCTACCTGTTCCTTAAGTCAGGGCCATCAGGTTCAAATCAGCGGAAGTATGCAAAAGAACAAGCACAGAGTAATGCACACATGTAAGGTATGATAGAGCACCGAGAGCTCCCAAGCCTCACCTAACCTTGCAATTCTTGTGACATACACTGGGCGGATGCAGAAGAGTGGGTACTGGAGGAGGTCAGGGAAGCTCAAATACAAGCCCCAAGACACCCATACCTGCTTTGCAATAGGCCAAGCATGGCTTGAGATGAAGTTAGCACTTTTTTTTTTAGCTGCATCTGAAAACCTTCAGTCATGTAGCCTTGGCTAGCTGCCTCCTTATCACTCCTATTCACAGCTAAGTCAATAGCACATCTCAGTGAGGAGAACTGAGAACCTATAAAACTGAGCCTCAGCCTTCCATTTCCTGACTTTCCCCAGAGAATGCAAGGCAAACCCCTAGGCCTTGGCATGGACAACAGCACCAGTGTCATTAGGTCTGAAATGCTGAGGGACCAGAGACGTAACCAGGATGTGAAGTAAAAGAAGGTCACCGCCTGGAGGATGTGACAGGACAGGAGAAGTAGGTGAGGTCATTTAGGAGTTGGGCATTCACTTACTTGATGACACTGCCTTTCATTCAAGGAGTATTAAAACACTGAAATTAACATTTATTCCTGAACTTTGAGTGTATCTAAATAGAAGGCTCTGAGGTAGTGTAAAGGTCACTACATGGATGAAGACAGAGAACAGAACACACATAATTTCTCAGCCCACTTCCCAAAGAGTGACCACGATGAGATAACTGCATTTCCATAATGGTTATTATACAATGTTCCTTAGGAATGTTTGACAGACCAAGACAGATTCCATGGACAACCAAAACCCATGAAGTGAGGCTGCAGCCAGTTCATCCTTGTTCATTCCAGGTAGACAAAGTTCTGTTCAGTGGACTGTAAGATCCTTATTAAGCGATCTCAAAGCCCTGGCTTACAAACTAGGAATCTGTGATCAAATGCCTTAAAAATATTCATGCCCTTAACCCGGTATTTTCATTTCTATAAACTATCCAAAATAATCTGAAACGTAGTCAAAGATTAATACACAGAGATGTTCACAGCATTGATATTTAAGGTGGCAAAAAACTGGAAATGATTTAAATGTCGAGCATTCCATATGATGGACCATTATAGTCCCTGAAAACACTTATGAAGAATCTTAATGACCTGGAGAAGTATTCAAGATGTAGCATTAATCCTACAAAAGCAAGAAACAAACATCTGACTTTCACCATGTAAAATACAATATAAACAAACTATATTTACACACAGAACCAACACTTAGTGGAAATATGCCAAAATATTAACCGTAGTTACCACAGGGTGGATGAGTGTTATATTTTTTTTCATTACGCTATTCTACATTTTCCACAATGGACACTAATTTTATTATAACATTCCTAAAGGTTAAAAACAAACCAACAAAAAACAGTACTGTGTCTGTATATTGGAGGAATATACATTTGTAAGCCCTTTTTTTCTCTTTATTATGTAATTTATTGCTTTTTCAATTAAGGAAAAGCTGGAAGGAAATACACCAAAAATATTATTGATACGTGGTTACCTCTGGGTTGTATTACGAATGGCTTTTTTCCTTATAGATTTATTTCCCTTCCCCTAATATTCTTCAATAAATACATACTATCTTAATAATTAAAAATGAAACCGAACAAAAACAAATCCAGAATACTCCAAAAGAAAATAAAATCGTAAGAGGACAGGGATCACTGCTAAGCACAGGGAGTGGAAAACTGTTTCTAGTATGCGTATGACTAGCCCATAGTAATGGCTAATGATAACCGAGCATGTTTAACCTTCTAGGCTGTTCTAGGTGATTTACACATTACCATGGACTTTCCTGTGGACTGTGCCCCCAATAAAGACTCACCTCTGACCCTCCTCATCCTCCTCGTTCTCGTCTTGGTCATGAATAAGGTCTCTGAAGGATGTCACCCTATTATCGCTGGAGACACAGAAAGGAGCAAAATGATCTCAAGGGGAGTTAAAGAAAGGTGATCCGCATCATCAGCTGCTAACAGTTGAGGACACTAAGGTTAGGTTTTTTGGTGAGGCAGGAAGAGGATCTATGGGAAGAGGGTTAACCTCTCAAGTTTATATGCAAAACAATGATATTTATTCAAGGTCACAGAGGACTAAGAATAAATTAGAAAGTGTATCAAGAAGTAAAATGAAATCCAATTTAAGCTCTCCTAGAGGGGGAGGAGAGAACCAGATAGGGTCTGTACTACTTTAAAAACGTACTACTGGATAGCGATTTTCATCATATAATTTTTAAATATTGGGGGAATGCCTGTGTGCCAGGCACTGAACTGGATGCTAGGTCTATAAAATGATCAGGCACAGTTCTTACCCTTTAGTTGCTTACAGGCTAGTGGCTCTTTGGCCAGGAAACCAACCATTAAATACTGTGCAACAGGGGCTGTGACAGAGGGAAGCACATGGGATGTGAGAGCAGTCTCCTGTTCTAGGTGGGGGCTGGGGAACATCAAGAAAAGCGTCCCAGAAAAATGCAACATTTGGACCGAGTACTAACAAACTAGGGGACCATCAGTCAATTGGATAAAGGATGGTGGGGCTAGTGGGGAAAGGGGACCAACAGGGGACCAACAGGAAAGCAGCACAGGCACAAACACAGAGACTAGTGAAAGTAACACATTAGAGGAAGGATAAATCATCAAGAAGTAAAAATGAAATGAATATATGAGTGAAAAGGCCTCTGTCTGCTTCTGCTGTAGGTCAGTCAAGTATTTATTAGTGTTCAGGAAAAAAGCAGGGTTGTGTGGGGTGCGGTAGAGAGGACACACTAAACATGGTATGACAAGGGTTAACTCCCTCCTCTGACACTGTCTTGCACTGCCACTTTTTTCCTAGTTTAGATTTGTCCTTAAGAAATAATCTTAGTTTTTCAAGGATCATGAGACACACCATTTTCTGTATTCCTTAGGGGAAAAAAAGTTGTTTCTCTTTAATATGGGGGGAGAGGGTAATGGAGATTTAGTGAGGCTAGAGAAGGAGTTGTTTACTCCAGTTCAGCCTTGAAGAAAGATTTATTTCAGGGAGACAATCAGAGGGCAGAATAGGCTCTGCGGCTCCACCAACTAGAAAAAAGAGGACAAAGATCAACCAATGTAGCAAATACATTCCTGCCTAAGTGAGCTGAGAGCAACCTCCTGGGCATTCCTTCATGCTCTACACAACCCGGTTTAAAAGGATGCAAGCGATAAGATCCATCCTAGTGCCCTAAAAGGCTAATTCCACTCATTACTCTTCCCAGGGGAGTTTTCCACAGATGCTTAGCTTAGCATCTATGGGAAAAAAAATCCTCTATCTCTCCGTCGTTAAACACCTTCAAATACACATGTGTACACCTGCTTGAGCAAACCACTTGCTCTGGCTATAGGTCTGACTCTTTCC